TAAGTGCTTAATGATGTGGGATATCCAACTAGGGAGTGTGTTAGGTATACACGATGGTGCACTGCGCGTACTAGCCCCAGAGCGTGTATGGTAAATATACGAGCTAGGTATGCCTCACATACTCACTAGTGGACTTTGGAAATTTGGGCTATTCGGTATTAGGCCTATGTTGGACTTTAAGAGTCTAGGGCTTTGTTGGGCCATCAGAATTCTATTTTTGGGCTAATACTATTTTAGTGGACTCTTTTAGTTGAAGGCCCACGAAGGGATTAGAGCCCAATTTGGAAGATTGAGTCATATTTGGGCTTTGGGTGATCATTTTGGAATTTAGGCCTTTTGGATAGCTGGCTTAGGCCTTGGCCTTGGGCCAAGTTCGGCAAAGGGTAAAAGGGACTTTTACCCTAGTTTGGACTCTTAGTATAAGTTAGGATCCAATTATTAATTGGATGTTATTTTGTGATTGATAGCGAGGGGATTTTAGCAGACCAGCAGTCTATAAGATTCAACAGTGTGAGGTGAGTTTCCTCACTGTGTTTAGTGGGTCGAAGGCACCAATATTGACCCTCGGTTTATTGTGTTAGGATTCTAGATGTCTGCATGACTCTTGCATGTGTATGCATTGGTATGTATGCCGAGTAGGGCTCAATGTCAGGTGAGGTCAGATGACTGTATTGTAAGCTATCTTTATGATTATTGCATGTGTTGGAATGATTGTGTGTTTATATGCTTATATGTGTATCGGGCGGGGTCCGATGTCAGGCAGGGCATGGTAGTTAACAAATCTGTAAACCGAGTAGGGCTCCATGTTAGGTAGGGTCCGAGGGAGGGTGGGACTCGATGCCGGGTGGGGGCCCAGTATGTGTTTATTATGTATGGTATGGGGTATTCTGGGGAACTCACTAAGCATTGTGTTTACCATTTTCATTTTATGTTTCAGGTACTTTTGGTTCGAAAGGGAAGAGCCTGAGATGATTATAGAGTACACACCACCTTATTCATCATTTTGTGATATACTTTGATATGATATGATGTAGTGACATACTTTGGTATATCTTGTTTGTATGACAATGTTTTGAATTAGAATTTTATTTAAATTAAAAATGAAATTTTTGGGTCTTATTTTTGGGACGTTACATGTTCATCATTTACCATACTTGTGTCTTCTGTTTGAAAGATAGGTTCAGCTCTAGTGGGTTGTTTTGTGTCATGTTCTTGACCTTCATCATAATTAGTTTCAAACTCCACAGTTATTTTATCCACACGTATAAATCCCACTTACGCGTTTACCTATTCTAGCTAGCTTCTTCGTATGTATGTTTTTCATAACACATAAGTCTGGGAAGAAAGTTACTGCACAACGAAGATCCCTTGCCAATCGTCTAACTGAAAACGAACTACATGTAAACTTTAGAACATGTAGGATGCCCTTGATTAGCAACCCGTTAGGCAAGTTTCAAACACCATTTCCTTCAAAACAGGTATGAAGTCACCATTTGTTATAGTAAGCGGTAACTCATCTGTGGTCTTTATTTTTCTTTCAAACCAATTGGCTATGTGGGTGATGTGCTCGGTTACACCCGAGTATATGATCCAATCATTACAGTGATTGCCCTTCCCTATCATGTTAGCAATTATTAGTACACATTCTTCAACTGAACTGTTCTTTTGTGCAAAAATATTCAGATATTTTTTATTATGTTCGTTGTTCAGTGCCGATATAGGACCTCTTTCGGATTCCACATTAATCGCTTGGTCTCTGTTTTTTCTTGTTGTCTTCCTCTTCCTGTCCACCACGTTGGATAGCCTATGATTTTGAAGCAACCATCACTGATGTGGCCATGTTTTCCACAGACCTCGTATTGCTCTATTTGATCAATTGTCGATTTATCACTGATAATGGTGATTCTTTGATTTTACGGTTTTTGGGTAAGCAGCTCTTATAACCCATAAACTTTGTTATGTATTATTATTTTCTTGAAGATTGGAAAACACTAAGCCTAAATAGGCAAAACAAAAGTAAGTAAAGACACTAATCTAGGAATAAAGAATGAAAATCAAACCATAAAATATTTGCAATTCTATAGTTATTATAGGGAGAAAGCGAGTTAAGAGGATATCACAAAGGAAGAGAAATCACAGTGTTGGATGTCTATCTGATGGTTTGTTATTTTAGGAATTGATGTGAATAAAAAAATAGATAAGTAATCAGTTAACAAGCAAATTAGGGTTTTGATCGCATATACATTTTGTTCGACAAAACTCGTAACTCAAAAAATATTGCATCAACTTCAAGTTAGCCAAGCCTACGTGCTACCTATAAGGTTTTCGAGTTCATAACTAGCTTGGTGGAAACTTTAATTTTTGTATTAGTTTTAGCAGCCTTTTTATTTTAGTTTTAACATCTTTAATATTATTTTTGCATTAAATTGTTAGATTTATTGTTTTGAATATTTTTACTTTTTAAACAAATTTTATGTAGATTTGTACGAGCGAGATAATAGCTCTGAGCACTACTAAAGCCACATCGAAAGCTTTTCAACCAATAATGTAGTAAGATCCATGATCAAGCTAAAAAAACGAAGCGATATAAATGAATTTTCAGATTTTTTGCAACATTACACGATCTTCTTCAAGCCATCACACAGAAGGGAAAACATTGTCCGAAATGAGCTGGAACTTTTTGGATGTTTTCGTAAATTATTACTTTTCGATCGGATAATAAATAAATGCATTTAGAGCATATCCAACCCACTCTCATTTTCCAATCCCCCCCCCCCTTTTGTTTTTCCTCTATTTTTCTTCAACCCTCTCCCATTTGTTCCTTTATTTTTCAGTTACGAATAGTATTACACCAAATATGGTGTTATATTATTCATTTTTCCCAAAAATATGGATGAACATTGCATTTTCGGTTTTAGTCTCTCTGTTTATATATTTATATATTTATAGTTTATTTTTACCTACTAATTATAATTTAAATGTAATATTTAATACTTATAATATTTTGTTATATATTAAATTATATTAATTAGGTATAAATATAAAGTTTGTTTTTTGTTCATCAAATTCATATAAAAAGTTAAATACATATTGAAATTTAAAAAGAAACAATAATATACTTTATAAAAGCTTATAAGTGTGTTATAAATACAATCTTATTTATTTAATATTATTGTAATGAAAAAAAATATAGATTACATATTTGTTAAAACCAAATTAGTAGAAGAATGTGTTTGACAATCTATGTAAGTTGTAAGAATAAAATATAATAGCAATATACATTTTGGGGTAAAATAGAATAAAAATGGAGTAGAGTTAGAGATGAAACACTATTTACCCAATTTTTTACTAAATTTTTAGAGAAATAATAAAAATATATTGGAGATGGTTTTAAACAATGTTTGAACCAGTTGTTTTTCCTAGTGAACATCATTCCACCAACCCATTAGCATGACTTTTGGTCCAATTTGCAAGTGAAGCCCATTTTTCTTTGTGTGTTGGAGCAAAAAAAAACGCATCATTTAATAAGATAAAGAGGCATCACAAAAAACACACATAGAGGCACAAAAATAAGGGCAATAGGGTAAGAAAGAGAGGATCTATTTCTTCTTTTATCTTTCCTTTCTTTTTCTTTTTTGGCTTATTTATATTTGGATCATTACTATCATGATTTTACCATATAGATTTTTAATGAGTCATTTCCTTTAGATTAGATTAAGCTAATTGTTGTATTAATACTTTAATTATGGATGAAGTTTTTAGAGCAACAAGAGATCATGATTTGAAAAAGTTTTTATCATCTTCGTTTGCATTTGGTATTGTTGTAACTTTTACACTTTATATCATTATTATGAGTAGTTAATTTGTATTTTGAAGCTAGTGAGGTATGGTTCAACTAGTTGGAGGCACACTCCCATTTTTCCCTCCCAGGGTTTCTGCAGGAATATTGTCAAGTTCTATCCGTGTCCAAAGCAGTAAAACCCCTTAATAGGAAACTGAGTTGCTATGGATGCGGTTGTAATCTTTTCGGGGAGTGATTGAATCCGGGTTCGTTGGATGTTATGACATACTGCACCAAACCGTCGTTAAAAAAAATGTATTTTCAATATTTGGTGAATCAATGGAATAATTATTTGATTAGGAGTAATTTATATGGGTTTTGATTGGTTTTCCATATATACAACTTTTATTTGAATTTACAAATTATTCTTGTGCTTTTATTTCATGAGATTAAATATTTGAATGACATTGGTTAGTTTTTTGAAGTATTTATATAATAGATTATCAAAACAATTAGTAACAAATGGTTTTGATGGATATTTTCATCTTAAATTCAAATTATGCAGTTGGGCTCGCCAAATTAAAAGTGTAAGCCTTTGACTTCTTTTAGATTTTGTGATTCTTAATCATATTTTTATAAACCAAATATTTATTTAGGAGATAAAAAAAAAAACTTCTATTAGTTTTTTTTCTTTGGACAAATTACATGAATGGTCCCTATCGTTTGGTGTTTGTTACGCGCCTAGTCCCTAACTCCATATTTTTAACCATGCCAATCCTTGATAGTTTTGTTTAGTACACGCATGTTCCCTCATCTAACCTTCCGTTTGATTTTGGAGTTAAAACCCTCACGTGCCTTGCACGTTGAGGGTTATTTCTGTCATTTTACTTATTCATCCTACCGCCAGTTAAAGAAATCGATGTGTTCAATTAAATGATCATACTCTACACTGTACAACACAATCGTATACCAAAAAAACACACAACTATGTGCAAAATCCTTACATGAAAACCCTAGGAGCGACGACTGCAAGAACGAAGAACTGCAATGGTTTCTAGGCACATTCGTGGTGAAATGGCTGAAATCAACATTGATCAAATTATGGTATGTTTGATTCACTTTTGTTTGAATTATATTGACTGTTAAAGGTTTAATTTTGTTAGCTAAAAAAGATTTTCTCTCCTCTACAGTCGGACATCCGATTGTGTTTTCAATAAGAATGCGCCATGGAGGTGATTTTACAAGCTTTCCTGGAAGGAAGCAAACATTTGTTGATTTACTAGATATTGATCCCTTTTTCGTTCATGACATTGATGAGATGATGGAAGACCTAGGGTATGCTTCATTAGGTAAACCACTTTACTATCACTTTCAAAGGCCTTTTGGCGATTTTGATTTTGGGTTATTCGATTTAGCTAGTGATGAAGATGTTCTTTATTTGGGGATTTTTGTGGCTAAGCATAAGTTAATTGACGTATATATAGAGCATGACAAAACTACTTTGCACACCTATTTAATGTCCCCAACCCACAGTAAAGTTCGTATAACGGTGATTAATCGGGTAATAATCCTACACCTACTGGTCATATGGAGAAGGATTTGGGTAATGATGCTACTCTCACTGATCATATAGAGAATGATTTGGGTAATGATGCTACTCTCACTGATCATATGGAGAATGACTTGGTTAATGATGCTAATGACATTGGCAAGTTTGGTGAGTTAGAGAGTGACAATGATGAAAGTGATGATAGTGATTTTTTGTGGAAATTGACAATATATTGGATGATATTAATGTGGATATGCAAGGCTTTTAAATTAATATCGACAAAGATGTGGAATGGTTGGAGGGTAGTCTAACACTATGGTTGATGAAGGCACACATGATGAAGCTTTAGAGGTGATTAACACTGACTTTTTAGCATCTAATTCATCATCAGATGAGGGGATTAATGGTCAAAGAAAGAAGTCAATAAGAGCAATTCAAAGGGCACATGAGAATGATGAAGCACTTGTTAGTGAACCCTTCTATATTTTTCAAAAATTTGGTTCAACAAAGGAGTTTAAGGATAAGGTAAAACTTCATGCCATAGAGACTAGAAGGGAGTTGGCCCTTGAAAAAAATGACAAGAATAGAGTGAGATGGGTTTGTAAGGGAACAATACCAAAGCTTGGGCGTAATGTAGAAGTCAACGATGAAGAAGAAATATGTCCTTGGGTCTTATTAGCTAGTAAATAGAAAAAAGATGTCAAGTGGACAGTTAAAATGTACAACAAAGTCCATAAATCTCTTCAAACTAGAACAGTGAAAGCATGTACATATAAATTCCTCTCTTCTAACATTGTTGAACAGGTTGAAAGTAGCCCTACTATTCCAATTAGGGCTTTGCAAGAACAGCTACAACGGAGGTTTAAGGTAGATCGTTCTAGGATGAAAACATTTAGGGCAAAATCTGAGGCTCTAAACCTTGTGCAAGGAGATTTCGTTACTCAGTATAGTTTACTCAGAGATTACATTGTTGAGCTGCAAACTCGTAACCCAGATACGACTGTTAGGGTTGATGTTGAAAGCGAAGGAAATTCACACAGTGAAACTAGGACATTCAAACGCATTTACATATGCTTAGGAGCTTTAAAGAAAGGGTTCACAGCTGGAAAGAGGGATTTTCTTGGTTTTGATGGTGCTTTCATGAAGGGTCCACTTCCAGGACAAATTCTTTCAGCCATGGTAACTTTTAATTTTTGTTCTTTACTTATTGTTATACATAAAAATAAGTAAAAATCTATGTATGGTTGTTATTTATCATAAAAATGCAGGGACTGGATGGTAATAATGGCACATATCCATTGGCATATGTGGTGGTTGAAACAGAGAACATCAATTCATGGACTTGGTTTTTGAGTTGTCTTGGGGAGGATCTTGGCTTGAATACTAATTCTAATTTCAATTTTATAACAGACAGACAGACAAAAGATACTAAAATCATAGATTTTTTACTTTATTTCTAAATTATTTACTAACAAAATCTATGTATGATTGTTAGGGTATTCTAAATGCAATTTCAACCTTGTTTCCTTGTGCTGAAAATCGTTAATATGTTCGTCACATTTGGGATAACATAAGGAAGCAGTCGAGGGGTAAACCTTTCGAAGACCTCTTATGGACATGTGCAACTCCAACACATGTACAACAGTTTAACAAAGGCATGGAAGAGCTAAATAAATTGAACAAGGATTGTTATGAGTGGCTTAAGAAGATACCACCTCAGCACTGGTCTAGATCCCATTTCACTGGTATAACATTTCATTCTAGTAACATTCTTGGTTTATGTAGTTTTTTAGTATTAAATTTAAGTGATGTGATTGGACAGGGAGAGCACATTCTAATGTAATTCTTAATAACTTGTGTGAAACATTCAATGGAAAACTGAATGAGGGTCGTGATAAACCAATTATTACTTGCCTACAGTTCATTAGGAAATATCTAATGAAGAAGATTGTGAAGATAGAAAAGGCCATTGGAAAATGTATTGGTCCTTTGACACCTACAACTATGCAGACTTTGGAAAATATTAAAAAATAGGGGGGGGGGGGGGGGCAGAAGATTATAGATTTGTTTTTTGTGGAAATGGTAAGTATCAGGTAAGTGGCCCTTGGATGGACCAATACGCGGTGGAAGTGGTTCAACAAACATGCTCCTGCAGGAAATGGGAACTCAATGGGATGCCATGCAAACATGATGTTGCTGCTATATGGGAGATGAGAAAGAATAGTAAGGATGTTAGAATACCAGAAACTTAGGTGCATGAGGTATATTGGCTAAAAACTTGGAAACAAATGTACTCATTCAAAATTGATCCCATTAATGGGAGAAGCGTGTAAGAAACGTTTGTGTGTCCAACAACTCTGGTTCCTCCTAAACATCATGTCACAATAGGTAGGCCAAAGAAGAAACACAGAAAATCAGCTTATGAAATTGATGACATGGTGAAGGGTAATAGTGCATCAAGAGTCCTTCAGTCGGTCACTTGTTCAAAGTGCAACAACATTGGTCATAATGCAAGGAGTTGTAAGGGATGAAAATCTAGTGCTCTTGGTGCTCCTAGTGGTTCTGGTGGTCCTGGTGGTTCTGGTAAGGGAAAAGGAAAAGATGGTTGAGGGAAAGGGACTTGATCCATTAGTGAGAGTATGTTTTGTTGGTTAATTAGTTCTTTTGGGTAAAATGTGTCCTTTTTGTTAAATTGTGTCCTTATGGTTAATACTGTTGGGTAAATTGTGTTTCTTTTGGTTAATCATTTTGTTGATGTATGATACTATGTTATGAAAAGTATGGAAACTAAATTACCCTTTATTAAATCCCACTTGTGTTATTGGTTGTTTATGTCAATTATTAGCATATGTTATTGGTTGTTTTTGTCAATTGTTAGTGTTTACTTTTCCATATAAGTTCCAGAAACACTTGATCAAACACTTTTCCATATAAGTTCCAGAAACACTTAATCAAAATACATGGATCATAGAAGTTTAAATAAGTTCCAGAAACACTTAATCAAACACTTAACCAAAATATTATCAAATTCCCAAACACTTAATCAAAATACATTCCAGAAACACTTTAAATTCACATACAACAACCAACTACATGGATCATAGAAGTCAAAATAAGTTCAAAAAAGACATAAACATCCTACATAGCATACTAGTTGGATCTCTTGAGCACTACAACTTGTAAATAATGATTATCTTCAGCAGCCGATTCTCGGCTTCAACTTTGTTCTTAGCCTTCAATAGCCCGAGAATTATCCTAGTACATCTTCCACATCCTTCCTCATCAACCCATCTAATAAACTTACATTTAGGTCGATGTCAAGTTCAAATCCAACAAATTTACGGTCATTGTCACACAAAATCTTGAGTTAGAATCAAAACGACCTTACCTTCTTTGTGCAGCGATAAAACTTTCTTCCGGGGTTGTCGTCGGTCCATGATGGTAGTGTAACACTTGGTTGCCTGCGATTACATTTCACCATTGTTGATTTTTTGTCCGTTAAAGAAACGAGAGATGAAATGAGAGAACAAACGTAGAGGAAGAAAAGGGGATGCACCGATCTAGGGTTTTTGAAGGATGAATAAGTAAAATGACGGAAATAACCCTCAACGTGCAAGGCACGTGGGGGTTTTAACTCCAAAATCAAACTGAAGTTTAGATGAGGGACCAGGCGTGCACTAAACCAAACTATTAAGGATTGGCAGGGTTAAAAAAAGACAAAACTTCAAAAAAGGTCCATGTGGCTTTCGAAAATATCAAGTTTAGTCCTTAAGTTCAAAAACCCTCACAGATGGTCCCTGTGGTTTCAAAACTTTTAATGTTTAGTCCTTCTGCCTAACTGCGTCTGCTTTCTACCATTAAGTAAGGGGAATTTTCGTCATTTCAATACCTAGGGACCATTTATGAAGGTTTTTTATTATTTTAAATAAAAATAAAACTAAAAAATAATTATTTTAATATATAACGGTCTCTCTCTCTCTCTCCCCCCCTCTCTCTCTCTCTCTCTCTCTCTCGTAAACCAATACAATCAACACATATCGTTGTTCTTCCCTTCTGCATTCGATCCTTTCTACCTTACCCATCCCGTTCCCTCACCTGTTCCATGGTCGACGACCACGTTATACCCACTGACGATCTCCCTCGTCGCTATCAATCGACCCAGGAGCACCGGGATTAGCCGCCTGTGAGCCTTCTTCCCTTCCCCTCGCGAATCGACATCCACTGTCGAACCACACCCCTCGTCGCTTCATCCTCTTCACGATCGGTCATCAATTAGAGGCTAATGTTTAATTTCATTCTTGTTTCCTTCGTGTTTACTGTGGTTCATTGGCATTCATATCCTCCTTCACCATCTAGCTCCTCTTTTCAAATGTCACTTCTACATTTTCCTTCCTCTGTGTTTTGTGTTAGGTTAAAACCCAAATCAGATATAACACAACCCAAAGTTATGAAGTCGAAATCGTTTCAAGCCCTAATCGGAGGAGAGAGTATCGGTGAGATTATGCGTCTGCTGCAAACATGGGGGTTTTCTTGAAAACATCATGAATATAAAATTGGATCTTGAAAGGATATACATGATGCATACGTTTAGGTTAGATTTTCTACATATTTCTTTCTCTTTGATTTTCTGCAAATTTCTGGGTTTGTAAACTCATAACCAAATCTTCGATTGTGTGGTATTTGTGTGTGTGTGTATGTGTGTGTTTATCTTGACGTTATAGAAATCTTCAATCAGATTGATAGGTTTCATATGCAATTACAAGTTCCCATTCTCAATGGATCAGCGAGGGAATGAGTGGAAGCTATCGAGCAAGTTGGGATTGCAGTTGTTATGGATTCCAATGGCAGAAATTATGAGAAACTAGCACCATATCTTACTCAACCGGTTCATGTTTCAAAAGGGAAAGTAGTAACAGGTTTTCAAGGGTGTTTGTTAACTTCACTTTAATTTAGTTCCAATACCTTAAATTAGAGAAGTAGAAAAACAAGGGAATGTTGTTAATCCTTTGAAGGTTCTCAAAAATCGATGATTCCGACAAGGCTAGAAAGAAAGAAAGAAAGAAAAAACACTCGAAAAATAAAAGTGAAACAAACATTAACGAAGGGGAAAATAATTGAAGACGAAGAGGAAGGGAAGCACAGGTGATGTTTGAATTTATGGTGACTGGAAGCAAATAACACAGGTGTGTCCACACACACACACACACACACACACACACACACACACACACACATATATATATATATATATATATATATAGAGAGAGAGAGAGAGAGAGAGAGACCATTATATATTAAAATAATTATTTTTTAGTTTTCTTTTTATTTAAAATAATAAAAAACCATCATAAATGGTCCCTAGGTATTGAAATAACGAAAATGCCCCTTACTTAACGGTAGAAAGCTGACGGAGTTAGGCGGAATGATTAAACATTAAACGTTTTGAAACTACAAGGACCATCTGTGAGGTTTTTTGAACTTAAGGACTAAACTTAATATTTTCGAAAACCACATGGACCATTTTTAAAGTTTTGTTGTTAAAAAATGGAGTTAGGGACTAGGCGCGTAACAAACACAAAACCATAGGGACCATTCGTGTAATTTGTTCCTTTTTTTTTTGTATAAAGTGAATGCATAAAATTGATTTTGAGTAAATCAAACGTGGATTCGATCCGTATTACTATCACTACAAATTTGTTTTTGTATTGTGTTGTTTATAGGTTTTCATGTGGTGATATCGACAATCATCACTTCGCAATCCACCGTCAAGCTAATTTTGCAAGGCAACCTGATTTTTCCAATCGAGTTTATTCAGCAAGGTAAGCTAATTTTGAATGCCAAGATCGAGCTAATTCAAGATGGAGTTTCAAGATTATCGAGAGGCTTGAGTATTGGCCTTGCATTGGTTGTACCATGTACCAATTGTACGACAATGTTTTTTTTTTTTTTTTGTATGTACGTATTAATGATGTTTAAAAAACTGTTTTGTTTAAATCGGTGGGAATAAGAGTGTAAATGAGTCGAACTGAACTTGAAGTCGGATCGTTTTGAGTATTTGCTACTCTCGCTCAACCAGTTATGTCTAGCAAGTTTTGCAACATTGCTAGAAATTGAGCCCTTCGGATTGTACCAAATTGCTTTTTATATTACATTTCTTAATTAACCATTTTGTTGTCATGTACATTGCATACGATGAGAGTTAAAAGAAGCATTCTTTACAGTTTAATAACCTTTAAATGGAACCATTTAGATGTGTCTTTTGAATCAATTAGAATCCAGCACATCTAAATTAAGATAATGCCAGGGGGCAAGAGTGAAACAGAAAAAGAACTTAAAAACTTTAGATGAAATTAAAATAAGATTAAATTGACATCAAAATTCATTTCTACACACACTAATTTTATATCACAAACGCTCCAAGAAGGAAGAAAGTCAAGAAACCAAAAACAAGTAAAAATAAATTACAAAAAAGGAAAATCTTGATATCTATCCCCAAGTTTCCAAATTTATAAACCTTCTTCGATTCTTGTGCATATCTGGTCAACGTTGACCAATGACTCAACCGATTAAAGTGATACACAATTCAACCGCCACCACTTCATGATTTCACGGTGGTGGTAGCGGTGGCGGTGATGGTGACAGAAGAGGCAAATCTTGAGACGACACCATGATCGCCGGTCAAACCTTTAGCGGCGGCTATGGCATCCAGGCGGCTCCAGTTTGACTGTCGCTTTGCGACGCTCTCTTTCTCCTTCGTTTCATCTTCCCGATACCTGACCTGGCATTCCTCGAACAGTGTCTGATCGGCGTCGGACAATATTTTCCGGACATTTATAGTCAGACTTTGAACGGCTTGATTCCAGTGACACCGTGTGTTTTTCTCTAATGCCGGAAAGATAATCGGTAAAATCACTTTCCGATTTTGAGTTATTTGATTCCTTATATGCTCGTTGTTCCACATGAACAACGCACGCTCTGCCACCTGTCACACCACCGGAAAATTTCGTCATATAAATTTTGCGATTTACCGGAAAAAGAGAAGGCATCGGAATGTGTGTTACCTGGAAATGAGAGCTATTAAGGCAGTGGCCAATCTGCCGGAATAAAGGAACCATACACCGTTCAAACTCCGCCGACTTGGTGGCTTCTAGAATCTCCTCCAATTCGCTAAGATACATGACTTCTTTTGAACTATTAGTCACTGGCCAATACTTGAGTAATCCTCGAATCACCATGTCTGCAAGCTTGAAAT